GTGGCTGGGTATAGAAGGGAGGACGGGGCATGAGATAAGGTACGGGAGGAGGTGGGGGACAGGTCAGGAGACATCTCGAAGGCCATAAGGAGTCCTGAATTTAACTGCCAAAGGTGATACTGGGAGGGGGGGTTTACGCAACAATGACATCGTCTGATTTGATGTCATACAAACCTCACTGTGGCTCAGCATGGGGGATGGATGGGAGCAGGCAAGAGTGAAAAGGGCAACCATTGCAAATGCCCACACCAGAGAGGACCAGGCTTGGGTGAGGATAACTGAAGCAGGGGTAGAGGGACGCACCTCAACTGGGACTCTGTGGAAGGAGACCCACAGGACCTGGCATGCCCATCTTGGGCTGGTGGGGTCAGCCTCTCCTCTTATCCCCACCCTGCTCAGAAATGTGGCTCGAGACAAGTGCCCCCCCACCTTGTAGGGGTCATGAGAGCTGATGGTAAAAACTCGAATTCTCCTGGGCACATGGGAGGACTGGACTCCTTCTCCCCGTTGGCATTACACAGGGCTGAGTAAGTGGCTTTGGCCAATGAAAAAGGAGTGGAATCGACACGTATCACGTCTGGGCAGAAGCTCTAATAGCCAGTGTATGATTTTCCCTTGTCCTTAGTTTCCTGATGTCATGATGGGCAGAGCTCCCAGCCAACCCATGATGGGCATAAAACACGAGCCAAAAATAAATCCTGGTTGGCTCAGGCTGCCAAGACTACAAAGTCATTACTTCAGCCTAATCCAGACTATCTCACAATGGATACAAGCCCCATGCCTGTGATATTTCAGATTTAATGAGTAACGTTAATACACAACTACTGCGGCTTGTTTGACTCAGCTACGAAGAAATGAACAGCAAGCGGTGGACTGATGTTCAGGAAACTGCCTCAACACAACTCAAGTTTGATGTGATACCTAAAGGCATGGGCGGCTCTAGTGAGTGCTGTGGGTATTTATGATTGAACACATGCATGGCATACTAAGGCAAAAGAATCTGTGCTAAAGACAAATCCTGCATCCGTGAACTACACAATGGGCTGTTTCACCAATTAAGAAAAGTTCAAACTGGGGCGCCTGGGTGGCTCAGGAGGTTAAGTGTCCAATTCTTCATCTCGGCTCGGGTCATGATCTCACGGTTCATGACTTTGAGCCCCAAGCTGGGCTCTGTGCTGGGGGCATGGAGCCTGCTTGGGATTCTCTCTCTCCTTTTCCTTCTGCCCTCTCCTGCCTTCTCTCTCTCAAAAAATAAATACACATAAAAAAAAAGTTCAAACTTGGGGTCAGATCACATTTTGATCCTGTAAGTGGCAATCGACAATGGTGGCACCATTGGGAAAATACCTAGAAATTCAGGCTAGGAAGATATTCATATGACGAATCTGAAAAAACTATAGTTAGTTTTTCCTATCCAGGCCCATGGATCCCAGATTGAATCACTTAATGGGTCCAAGACTTAACAGCAGCAACCTACTTGTAACTCAATCCACACAAAGAAGTCATGCCTGAGTACCTTAATGGTACAAGAGGCAAGGGAGACCTTCTTGAAGTGACCTGGTCAAGGGAAAGCTTCTGAGGTGGCTGACTTCTCTGGACCAATTTAGAAAGAAAACTCACCCTCAGGGTATCAAGGCAGGTATCTTGAGCCTGTAGGTCCTGGTGAGGCGAGTGCAGGCTTTGTCTCTTAACAGGATTCATCAGTAGCTTTTGTCGGATGTTGAAGTCCTGCGTGCTAACTCAATCTACTCCTGACAATCAGATAAACCCTCAGATCTGTCCTGGAGAGCAGCCAAAGTGTACTTCAGGGAAGTGGGTAAGTCTTAGTGAGCCAAATGTGCAGGGAGAGAGAGAATCAGAAGCCAACCAGCCAACTCTAAAGCAAAGGGCCACACAGACTGGACAAGAGGCAGAGGCCCTGTGACTGCAGGCAAGCTGTCAGGTCCACCCCTGAACATGGGAAGCAGGATCAAAAATGTAGTGAAGAACCAGGCCAGGCCCACCAGCATGGTATCTTTAATTCCCAAGTTCCTTTATTTGCAAATAGGGTCGCACTAGGGTCGGGGGTGGAGGGTGGACAGAGCCCTACTCACACAGATTTCACAGGGCAAAAGCCCACAGCTGCTGAGTCAGTTCCAGGATTGACAAGAATGGGACAGGGTGAAGCTAGGCTGGGGATGTCGCACGCAGAGGGGAAAGTCACTGCATCCCTGTCCCTGGGAGGGTGGTGTTGGTAAGTTTCTTAGGTCTGAAGTAAGTTTTGCATAACTATTAGGCTTGCCTGGAGATCCAGAGTGGGAGGGGTCACTTTGCTCTGCAGAGAAAGCCTGTGGCACCCAAAGATGCCTAATCCCAGAACCTGAGAGTATAAAATACTCTGTTTATTGAGCAAAAGGGACTTTGCAGATGTGATTAAGTTAAGGATCCTGAGACTGATTATGGTGGCTATCTGGGTGGACCCAGTGTCATCTCGAGGGTCCTATAAGAGGGAGAGGAGTCAGAAAAGATACTATGTGAGGTACTACACAGAGATACTATATGACAGAAAATGAGGTCAGCATTGCAAGGTTGCTGGCTTTGAAGACACAGGAGGCCTTGAGCTGAGGAATGCGGACAGGCTCCAGAAGCTAAAAAAGGAAAGGACTCTCCTCTGGAGCCTCCAGAAACAACCAGCTCCACTGACTCCTTGATTTTAGCCGCAGGAGATGGATTCTGGACCTAACCTCCAGAAGTGTAAGAAAATACATCTGTGTTTTTTAGACCCCTAAACAGGGGCCACGTTCGTACGGCAGCCACGGGAGGCAAAAAGAATGCAACACATCTCGCCACCTGAACGTCTCTGGTTCAGCCTTGTCCTAATTTCCCTTAGTGAGACACAGACAGGCCGAGCTCCCCGAGGGTCATGGAGTGGCTGCTATAGCAGAAGGCTTCCTGCAAATGACACTATCTTATCATGATAATAAGCTGCTTACACAGAATTCTGTTTTATGACATTCTCAGGCATTCTGGATGGGTCCCAAGATTTGTATGAGCCTGCAAGTCATTAGATTAAACCAGTATATAATTTTTCCCCCTTTTCATAAGAATTATTGTCCTCCTTGCTCTGCATAAGTGTAGAATTTCTAAGCCTTCTGTTTTTATGGGCTCAACTTCATTTATCTTCAGGAAAATAATGGAATGGCACATTTATTCTAGGCCTCAGATAAACTTGCTTTATAACTGTTTAAATTAAGATCTAACGGACCCTGACATGATAGGATTTCTAATCTAAAAGCAAAGAAATCCATGAACACGTAAACATCATAGACAGTAACAGTATTCCCAGCAGAATTCCCAAGTGTTCATAGTGGTTATCGAAACTTTTGCTCTGGTTTTCTGGGAGACAAACATCCAAGGAAAACTCTAGCAAGGTGGCCCTTCAAGAGAGAAACTAGGAAATTCATCACACACAGGATCTGCCACACGACTCTGTCAGTGCGACAGCATCGTGGTTCTTACGCTTGCTGAGGCATCACCACCACACAGCTCTAAACCCAGATTTCTGGGCCCCAAGCCCAGAGCTGGTATTTCAGTAGGTCTGGGGTGGGGCCTGGGAGTTGGTGTTTCTTTTTTTTTTTTTTTAATGTTTATTTATTTTTGAGAGCAAGTGAGCAAACCAAGGGCAGACAAGGGGAGGAGAGGGGAGGGGGGGGAGGGAGGGAGGGAGGGAGGGAGAGAGAGAGAGAGAGACAGAGAGGAGAAAGAATCCCAAGGAGGCTCTGTGCGGTTAGTGCAGAGCCCAAAGCAGGGCTTGACCCTACAAACCTCGAGATCCTGAGCCAAAATCAAGAGTTGGACTCTTAACCAAATGAGCCAGGCACCGGAAGGAATCGGTATTTCTAACGAGTTGCCGGGTGATGCTGATGGTCAGGGGCCACTCTCTGAGAACCACGGTAGGAGAGGGGTGCCTCGTGCAAGGCCCAGTTTCTCACCTGTCCTCATGAGGGTCATGATCTTACCTCCTCTGGCTCAACTGTCCCTGCCCAGCTCGTCACTATCCTGCGATTGCACAAGTGTCCCCGTCCCCTATCAGACACGAAGCCAGGCGTTCTCCAGCGTGGCTGCGTACTGCAGCCCTCTATGCCCCTGCCTCACTTTACCGGGAGTGAGGGACTAAGGTCTTAGGAGCTTTTAAAGGTACTCATGGGATTCCGAGTGTGGCCCAGACGGAGGAGTGCCGCTCTAAGCAAACGTGAAGGACGACAAAATGACACCAGTGGCCGAAGCGGGCGATGCGAGGTCCCCCGACAAGGCCCGGGCCCGTCTTCCCCGCCGCGATATGCGATGGTGCTCAGGAGACACTTCTGCACCAACGAGCACTCATTGGCTGGCAGGCCGTGGAGGGCTAGCACCTCCTTTCTCCAGGGTGGCTGGATGAACCCCCAGAAACACATGACGTCATTAAATCACTAACCTTCATAAGGAAAACAACCCTATACTGACACAAGTATTTGGGAAGTAACCCCACCCACATTCATGAGTCCAAATAACTAACCTGACAACTACGGATAAAAGCCAGAAAACATCTTTTTGGTCAAGAACAGGCATCAGAAAACAGACCCATCAGCTAAATCGAGCTGCCACCTTATGAATCAAGTTTTATTGGCACTCGGCCACGCCCATCCAGGTCAGAACAGCCTGTGGCTGCTTTCACACTCCAGTGGCACAGCTGAGTATTTGCAGCTAAGGGAGTATGGTCTGCAAAGCCAAAAACAATTCCTCTCTGGCCCTTTAGCGGAACATGCTTGCTGACCCCTGTCCTAGAGAAATAAGAGGGCGTGCACAAACAAAACATGACGCGCTGTGGAATTAAAGGTGTTTTCTCTGTCCCTGTTTCTTCTTCTATGTGCCAACCTCCGAGACCTCTGTCTAGAGGGGCACGTGCGTGTAGACCAGGCACTAGGGTGATCACCGGGGTGATCAGGCACCGGGGTGTCCCCGGTTCCCCGTGGCGACAGTACCTTGTTTCCAATGGCCTTCTTGGGTGGGAAACTGTAGCCCCTCACTTGAGGGTACTTGTTCTGTAACTTGTGGTGCAAACCCCTGAACTCTGTGTACCGCCGATACACGTTCCACTCATCGTCTTTTATCCGGATGTAGACCTGCGGAGAAAGGCACACAGAAGGAAAATGTCAACCTCTCTTAAAGCTCTCGTTACAAAGGGGTGGGGTTTCGGGGATGCTCCACCCATGAAAGCCAGCTCTGCGAGAAGCAGGGGCCGCGGCTGTCCCTCAGGCCACTGGACGCCCAGAGCCTGGCAGAGGAGGGCCTCAGTGGTACCACGTCAACAAAGGGGTCCACAAAAGAACAAAGCAGGCAGGTGACGGGAACAACACGCCGTGTACCAGTTCCCAGTATCAGCAGAGGTGAACAGTCCAGCTGATCTCTGAGATGGTCACATGCATGCTGTGGCGGTGACTGCTGCTGAGAATCCAACTCCCCCCAGGCGACACATGTCATCATCTAGGAGGTGGAACTGACTAACAGCACCTCCTCCCAAGGAGCATTCGGACACACAGGCAGGGCAGCTATGCCTGGGATGGCGTAGACCCCCACATAAAGGAGGGGGAAGCCAATGTGGGGCGGGAGGGAGGGAGGGGCCAGAGGTGACATCAACCCAACGGGACGGAAGGTCATGTCCAGAGGGGACAGGCACACTGGGAGCATAAAACTTCTTTATTTTCAATCAAGATGGGACTCTCAAGAGAACATTCTGGGGGGTGCACAATGTAAGGGCTGTTTCTTCAGCTTTTGATAGACTGTAACACCTTCTAGGGACACACACTAACCACATCTCGAGGGAAAACTGAAGCGGAAGAGGGAACGATGCATTTAAAAATATTACACAAGAACAGCCCAGAGAGCAAAGTTCCCAATGATAAACGGCTACTGTGACCGGTCATCAGCGAACGTCAATACGCATCTCAAAAACCTCTCATGTAACGGTAAACATAGGTATCCCTCATGTGAGCGACAGATTCCACCTCTACGTGGAAACCACCCAGTATTCCCAAATCAGACACGATACATCGGAACTTTGGTTAAGACAACCATTGAGGCCTCTTGTAATCCTCTTGTGAACAAGATGGACGAACGATATAAACCAAAGAACTTCAACTAATGGACCCAAGTTTCCAGCGCAATCAGATAGAGAAATGGAGGTCTATCAAATTCATTAGAAGCCCCCAAGCTAAGAGAGGCAGTAAATGCACTGGGGGGCAAACAAGGTGGTCTCAACTGGCCTGAGGGATGAGTCTAATCCAATGTGCTGAAATTCAAAAAGACCAATGTCGGGTTGTACACTAAAACTCCAAAAACCATCATCATAAGTAAAAGGGAAATAGGGCACAGGAGTGGCCTGTGGGACAAAGACTTACAGGTTTCGGTAAATTTGAGCTAAGTAAATAATGTGGGAGGGCCACCAAAAAACCTATGTAATCTTTAGGCCTCGTTAAAAAAGCTGTATGCTAACTTCTGGGATAAGCGACTTGAGAGTCTTGCTCTGTCCTAAATCGACCACAGCAACTTAGTTAGGTTTTGGCTGCCACCTATTAAAAGATGAACTATGTTCAGAAAGGCCCAGGTCACTTGCTACAAGGGCCGTCCCTGGGCCGGGAGCATCGGCATCACGTGGGAGATGTCAGGAATGGAGCGTCTCGGGCTCCACCCCAGATGTACTGCTCGGAACTAGAACCCAGGCGGATCACACCACACACTGACTCTGAGAAGCACGGGCCCCAGGAGAGGATCTGCAGCCACATTATAAGAAGACAGGCAGTGGAGGGCAACAACCCAAGCCTCAGGGTGGAGGGGGCAGAGGTCTCAAAGTTCCTGGAAAGGCTGTACGGAGAAAGAGGAAACCCAGGATGACGTGCTCTGGATGCTCACAACTGTGAGCAGGTACCACCTGGAGGAAGACAGATTCCATAGGGACAAAAAGCTGCCGAGAGGAAAGGCTTCTTGGGACTGAAGGTCCCCGCAGTGGTATGATGGTTACCCCGATTAGCCAGGTGTTTGATTTGCAGAAGTAAAGTATACATGAGACCCAAAAGTATCTGGAAGGGCCTGGCTAGTTGGGGGAGAAAAGGGACTTCAGGCTCTCCCAGTCTCTATAAGCTGAGACATGATGAATCTGCAAATAAACCCAGCAGAGCTCAGGGGAATTTCACACAGCACATTTAGGGCATTTGCTGGGTCCCCTCAGGTCCCAGCAAGTGCTAGTTGCCCACCCAGCATCCATTTCCCCTCACCATTTGGGGGGATAGCAATGTGTTCAGGGAGACTTAACTACATTTTTCTGTCTGCCTCGCAGGTAAGAGTAGCTCATGAGATGTAAGCAAAAATCACTGGGGCTTCTAAGAAAGTCCTTAGGAGAGATCTGCCTCAGCCTACGGTGCCTTTTTACCTTTCTCCCTCTCTTTTTCTTTCTTTCCTACAGATGTGATGACTGGAGCTCCAGGAGTCATTTTACGATCACGAGATCATCTTGATGATGGTAGAAGACAGAAGGGATTGTGGGGTCTCTGATGACACTATGGAGCCATGACGCCAATTACTAGACTATCTACTCGATTTTTTTTTTTTAACAAAAGAGAAATATTCACCTTGAATTTACTCAAGCTTAATGTTTTGCAGGTCTTTGTCCTGGTGGCTGAATGCAGTTCCAATCTGCCACATCTCAAATGGACTGTATCTGCTTGCATATTGTTACACAAATGCAGGTATCCCCTAGAGAGCGTCAAGTTCAGCTACTTGCCTGATCATCATGCACAAGGTTAATTACCTAGAGCAGGAGAGGCAAACTATGGCCCATGAGCCAAATCCAGCCACATCCATTTGTTTACCTATTGTTTATGGCTGCTTTTGAAATACAATGGCAGAACGGAATGGTTCCAACAAAGACCATATGGCCTGCAAAGCTGAAAATACTTATTTACAAAAACACTTTACAAAAAACACTTTGTCCTCCCTCTGATCTAGATACTCAGCACTCATTGTTGTTATTTTTCCACTGACATAGCCAAGATCTGGTGTGGAAAGGGGCAGGGCTTTCCAAATATTACCAGCCCCTGGGTGGGATGTATTACCCATCTGGGACCCAGGAATCTGTAGTGTTCCAAAGCTTCCCTAGTGATACTGATGTGTAGATGGTCTGAATGCTTGTGTCCCCCCAGAATTCACATGTTGAGATGCTAACCCCTGATGTGATGGTGTCAGGAGGTGGGGGCCTTTTCGAGGTGATTAGGTCATGAGGGTAGAACCCTCAAAAACAGGATCAGTGCCCTAAAAACAGAGATTCCCCCAACAGAGATCCCTCACCCCTCCTGCCATGGGAGAAGATGCTATCTATGATCCAGAGAGTGGGTTCTCACCAGACACCAAACCTACTTAATGCCTGGACCTTGGACTCCCCAGCATCCAGACCATGAGGAATAAAGGTTGTCTAAGGCCCTCAAGTCTACAGTAGACTGAATGGACTAAGGCAGCAGGCAACTTGGGTAACCCCTGAGGTCAAGCACAGACTTAGGTATCAGGCAAAGCATGTCTCCTCTCTATGGGTCTCCCCATCTATAAAATGGAATTTACCAACAGCACCTCCTCCCAGGAGTGTGGGGAATACTTGGACACACAAGCAGTGCAGCTATGCCCGGGATCGCGTCGACCCCCACACAGAGGAGGTGGAAACCAATCTGGGGCAGGAAGGAGAGGCCAGAGTTGACATCAGCTCAGCTGGATGGATGGTCACGTCCAGATGGGATAGGCACCACAGGGGCATAAAATTTATTTGCATCAGAATGGGACTCTCAAGAGGACATTCTGGGGGTACACAATGTAAGGGCTGTTTCTTCAGCTTTTTACGGGCCTTAACACCTTCCAGAAACACAGCAACTACACTGGAAGGGAAAACAGTAGGAGAGAGATTGACGCATTTTAAAAAATTACATGAGCTAAGAAGAGCCTAGAGTAAAACCTCCAGTGACAAACAGCTAGTATCATTTGCAAGCAGTCAACATCAACGCACATCTTGAAAACCTCTAACGTAATGATGAAAACAGTCATCTGTAGCATGAAGGACAAAGCATGACTCTATGTTTTTCGGAACACGTTCAAGAGCCAACTGCTTCATACCATGGAAATGTTGAGTCCCTCCCGTTTCTCTGATGGCCCCTTCTTGGCCTTCCACACGGATGCCTCCTCTTCTGCCCATGCCACAGGTGGAGATTTTCGCTCACCACCCTCTCTCCCCTACACGAGCACCCAACTCTCTGGTTTGCACATTTCACGTTAGGTCAAATCTGCGTCTCTAGTTTGGACTTCTGCTATCAATTCCAGGCCCAGACGTGGTCAAACTCATCATGTCTACATCTGATCCCCCAAACTGCACTGGAGATCCGCTCCTCCCTCTTCCTGGGATCTCGCTCTCTCAGCGAATGGACCACTCAGCTGCCTGAGTTAGAAACCTGGGCATCACCTTTGACCACTTCTGTTCTTTCACCCACATGTTCAAGTACTGAACAAGGCCTGCTGACCCACCCTGGAGTTGTCCCTTCCTCTGCCTGGGCCACTGTGAGAGGCCGCTAAATGGTCTTCTGGACCTGCATTTTCCCCTATGCGATTCGTTTTCATCTCGTTGTTCACACTCCTTCAGCGACTGTCCATGAGGGATGTCTGCGAGCCAAAGACAGGTCCAGAGCAGGTACGGCGGGCGGCCTCTCTGGACTTACACGGCTCCTGCTTAACCGCACTGTCCTCCTTCAAGCTCCACCACAGGCTGTGGCAAAGCAGGATGGCGCCAGTTTGCCTGCATTCTTTAAAACATTAAAAAAATGTTCGGATTAAAGGAAATGCCCTGACCTTCCAACCTTCCCTTGGTTGTATCTCCTGCCAGGGTGACAGGAGGCATTCAACAAAAAACCCATGAATGTCTCTGTGCCCTGCTTCCTCCCTGAGCAATGAAGATGGTAACATTACCACCCTTGCTGGGTCTTAGGAGATTTAAATATGTTCACACACGTAATAGGCTTAGAACAGAACCTGATACACAGAAGGTGCCAGGTGAGTGTTCGATAAACAAACAAAAATGTAAACTTATTGGTGAGGT